GTTTAAAAGTTTTTATTAAACACGACACAAACATTAATTTAAACAACACATGATCATCTTTTCGCTGTTTTAGAAGGCAGGGTATAGGTTTTCGTAATTAAAAACTACTTCAAATATGTTGACCTTTGAGTGACTTTTACAATACAAACACATTTTCACAGATATTTTAAATAAATAAACAGCAGATCATCGCTCTTGTATATAACAACCAGATAGAAAGTTAGATATTCTCCTTCTTAAAGTGACACAAGAAGTTAATTTTATTATATCTTGAGACAAAGCAAATGAAATGGCTTACTTAATCCTTGTGGCCTAATTTCGAGTCATTCAGATCGTGTCAAGTAATGTAGAATATATAAACAAAGCGGTACGTTGGAATTGTGTGGTAAATAGTACAATATATCCTAATTGATTCATAGCTTTAACATTTTATCATTCGTAAATATGTGTGTGTGCGTAAATACATTTAAAAAACTTGTGTGCTTTTTCAGCAATAGCTTTGCATATGAATTAAATTCAGATCACTCCGACGGTGAAATATAATTGAACTTGATTAGGCCTTATGACACGTGATGAGCCTAATGCGATTAGATTAAAAAAAACACATTCAAAAAAACTCACTAAATTAATAATTAGACTTGGGTTTTAATTCATAAATCTGAAATAGTAATATTAACACTTAGTATGAAATCTATCATAATTTATTGCATAGAATATAACTAAATTAGACGGACTTCACATATTTTTTCTAGATGCAATAATTATTGTAATTGTTTTTTTATTCTAAAGAACTTGATTAGCAGAAACAGGCTAGTAAGGTTAGCAACAAGGTGAATAGAGAAGTAAAAGGTTGACGATGGTCAACTGAAAGTAGGACATCTTCGGGTTTTTCTTATATTATTTTTTGAACCATATTTATCGTCATTTATGAAGCCTGGAGAATACCGGCAAACAGTTCAGTTTAAGTTTTCTATAAAAATTACTGATTTAACTAGAATTTAGGTTAAAAGGGGGATAAGAATTTTCAAAATCAGGCTTTCGCGTTATGAAGATTTGTTTTGATTATTCTTGTTCCCTTTTTTTGAAAATTTGGATGTACTCCAACTCCAATTCGTCACCTAATTGGAAACAGTAGTTGTTAAATTGAGGTCAGAATGAATATTGTTAATATATGGCCTGATAACTGTTCATTTTTCTAATCAGGTCAATGTTCTATATTGGGAAAGGTTATATACTTGACTCTGTGCTACTATATAAAGGTAATCTGCTTAACTTGTTACTGGAGAATTTCATGTAACTTGATTCTGAGCTACTGTACGAAGTAGGACAACAAATATATAGTGGCTGACTCTGGAGGACAACATAAATCGATAGTAGCTGACTTTGGAGGACAACCTAACTCTATAGTGGGTGACTCTGGAGGACAACATAAGTTTATAGTGGCTGACTCTATTACGAGAGGCATTCCAACTCGTCACTATAAGTCATTGTATCATATAGATATTTTTATTCACCACTAAGTTTGTTTTTTTCTTCTGGTATTAGGTCGTCAAGAAATTAGTGTCGCGTTTTGGAACACTTTCATTAACCACCCACCAAAAAATGTACATCACGTATAATAGTTAAACGAACCGCCAAAAGGTCATGTTAGTGTAGCCTATATAATGTGTAAAGTTTAGTATACTCTAATCCCTTAAAGTGATGGCACACATTCGGCATGTAATGCTGTTTGAATACAGGAAGAGAAACAACGCCTGTGTAGCCAAAAAGAACATCAAAAAAGTTTATGGAAATATTTTGAACGTTCTTAAGTATCAACGATGGTTCAGCAAGTTTCTTTCAGGTGACTTTAGCCTTAAAAACTGTGATGGCAGGGGCCGACATGGTGGAATTGATATTGATGCTCTGAAAACGCTTGTTGAGTCTAACCCAAGGCAACACACTCGTGAAATGGTCCTGAAATTGCATGTTTCTCATTAGAAAATACGTAAACATTTAAAGAATATGGGAAAACTCCATAAAGAATGTGTTTGGGTGCCTCACGAACTCTCCGATGATCATCGTTTCTAACGTGTGAACGCTGCTTAGTCTCTTCTGGCGCGTAATGCGCGTGAAACATTTTTATACAGAATTGTCAGCGGTGATGAAAAAACGGATTCTCTATGCGACTATTAAACGCCAAAAACAATGACTCTGTCCTAGACAAAAAACCACTTCCGACCCCAAAACCTGGACTCCATCCGCAGAAAGTGATGC